CAGATCATCAATAAAGATGTGAGGACTGGCCCCAAAACAGAGCCTCAGAGAACACTGCTAGCAATTGTCCACCACCTGGATTTATCTCCATGCACCACAACTCTCTGGGCCTGGCCAGACAAAAAAAATTGAAGAAATGGTGTATTCACAGTTGCTCTTTTTCTACCTAAACTGCCTGACATGGCCTTGGTGCTTCAAGGGTGATGCTCTGTGGGATGAGGTGAGCTGCTCCCAATCAGCAGTGCTCTGGAGGCAGGGCTCTCCATCTCCAGAAGGCTTCAGCTCTAGGAGCTCCTTGTAGATCCATCCATGCTGGCTGCTAGAGTGGGAAGTATCTTTCAAGGGGCGAGAATCAGCCCAGTAGAAGGAAGGTTTGCAGAGAGTATCCTGTAGGAACCCTCTCTCCCCCTCCAAGAGGCATTTCAGCTTTTCAAATAGTCACATCCCTCCACACAAAATGAGGATACTGCCTTTGCAAATGCTGTCAGGAGGCCTTGCCTTATTCTTCCCACCCACTCTGTGCTTTCTCCAGGGAATGCACATCATCAGTCAGCCCAGCATCTACTGCTTTGCTCTGCTGTTCTCTCTGGCAAAAGAAGATAGAGCAATAAACTTCCCAGACCTAGCTAGGCAAAGATTTTACATTGCTGGAGTGCTTACCTGTGAGCGTGAGCAAAGTGGTGATGCTTTCTAGGGTAGTGAGGGTGTTTTCCCGAAGGCTGGATCAGTCTCACGGTGGTGAGGGGGTTTTTCCCGAAGGCTGTACCGGTGTCACGGTGGTGAGGGGGTTTTTCCCGAAGGCTGTACCGGTGTCACGGTGGTGAGGGGGTTTTTCCCGAAGGCTGGATCAGTGTCACGGTGGTGAAGGGGTTTTTCCCGAAGGCTGTACCGGTGTCACGGTGGTGAGAGGGATTTTCCCGAAGGCCGGATCGGGGCCGCGGGCCGAGGGGAGGGCGGCACTCCTGCAGGCCGCCGCTAGGTGGCGCCGCTGCCCGCGCTGAGGGCGCTGCCGGCCGTGTCGGTCCAGACCCGCAGCCCCGACGGTACCGGGCCCTGAACGGCGACTGGGGCGGAAATCAGAGCCACCTCTCACGGCTATGGACCTGTCTGAGCCCAGCTTTAAGAAAAGCCCAGCTTTTGCGTTTCGGGGCAGCACGCACCAAGCTAGAGGAGTGGGAGCAGGCTCCGCGGTGTGAGTGGGACATGAGGGCCGGGGCCGGGCTGCCCCTCGGCTGAGGGAGAACCGACAGCGGCTGCTGAGGGCACCCAACCTCGGTGCGCTCTGTGTCAGCCTTCAGACACAGCTGCGGGGGACCGCAGAGCACGAGCCGTACCGGTGATGGGGACTAAAGTCTGAAGAAGAAAAGTACAAGGAAGAGAGTGTTTAGATAAACTGGATTTTTTCAGGCCCTCTCGGTGTGGCGAACCTCACACAAAGCAATGCCAGAATTAGTCGTTGTTATCTATGAGAATTTCCTCCCTCTTCAAAATGGGAACTGGAGCCAAAAGCCAAGAACTGCTCACAGTTAAATTCCCGCTGAAAAAACCCCCATTGAAATAAACAAACAAACCCCCCCAAACAAACAGAAAATCCCACCAAAAAAATACCAAAACCAAAACAACAAACCCACAACAACAACAACAACAAACCCACAAAAACAAAACAAAACAAAAACCCCAAACAAACAAACTAAAACCAAAACACCAAAAAAATCCCAACCAACCAAACAAAAAAACTGGAACAAATAATCTCACTATGTGTAAGTAGCAGAGATGAGCAGGAGCTATGTGGACACATCAGGAACAGAATCTGGTCAAAACAATCCAGTTTTCCTCTCTGACAGGGTAAGTGCATGGTGATGGAGAGCTCTGGCTGCCAGTCAAATGGCTTTTAAGGATGATCTAGATTGGATTTGGGTAGGTACAAAACCCACTGGATAATTATACCCAGAGAGTTACCCACAGTTCACTATTGAAAAGAAAGGGTTCTGTTGAGTGAAATTCAGGGACATCTGTAGTGGGTCTATTTTTGCTCAGCACTTCCATTAATGGTCTGGATGATGGAGGAGAATATGCACTTGCTAAATCTGCAGATTCGGAAGTGTCCAGGTACAAAGTTTCTTAACAGGTCTCCAAAATAAGTCAGATCCTGCTAAAAATCATATGCTTGGGGTTGCAGTATCAACAAGATAGATGCCAGGGAGGAACTGGGGGCTTGTGAGAGACAAGTCCTGGGTAAGGTCTGTAGAGCACCTGCTGTATTTGTGCTGGACCAGAGAGCATGATGTCCAAGTCCTGGCCCCGTGAGCAAGAAGCTGAACGTGAGAGGCTGAACCGGTTTATCTACACCAGGAAGGCAGGTGACATTTGTCAGACAGGAGACATCTCCCAAAGCACTCTGCTGCCAACTTGCTCAATAAGTTATTTGCTGTTGGCCATCTCTGGATCCTACATGGTGCAATACCTCTGACTGCAGAAACAGACCCCACCATCTTTTCCATATAGCATGGGAAGGAAAAACTTGAGCCAACTAGCCAGGCTACAGAGCCACTGGCCACATGTGCCAGTTACCTCATGTGGAGACTGAATCTGTCCTGCTCAGGAATCAGAGTGGTCTGGAGTAATGTTAATTTAAATGACTTCATGAAAAACCTTAGACTGAGAAACCAGGACCTAAACTAGGTCTTGACTTTTTCCCACTGGCTCCCAGAGGAGATAATGAGAACCACGTGCTAGAATTGGCCTTCTGCTTGGCATATTTGGACATATCTTCCATCCACTGAATCCTGCAACAGTCAGCAGCCAAGTCTTGAACTGCGTCCCCCAGCCAAACATCATCTTCTCTGTGTGACAAGTAGAGGAGCTTCACAAGCATCAGAGCAACATAGAGAACCACCAAGCACAGGGTGGAGGGGCAGTGTGTGTGGAAAAAGAGGAGGGGAAAGACCAAGTGTTTGAAGAGATCAAAGAGATCAGCTCTTAATGAAGGCAGTAGGAGAGGATTGTGGCACTACCTGTCTTGCGTTACCAGGGAGAACCAGGGTGGACTCTGCTATGAATTGGGCTCAGTGGAGGACGGGGTATTAGAGATAAGCCCCGGCCTTTCTTTCTTCCTGTAGATGGAAGAGTCATGCCAGAGAAGGGAGTTAAGCACAGTAGCACCAAGATGAGGTGTGTATTTGCTGGAAAGGCTGCTGGATGGCAGCTCCAGCACAGAATGGAGATTAACTGTTGAATCTACTTCAACAGCACTGGTGCCCAGCAGCAAGGTAGGATCTAGGTTACAATGAAACATATGGTCTGAGATGCACTGCGTTTATGTTTTATATGTTTACACTTGATCTTTCAACCCTTCCACTGGTAGCTGTTTCAGTGTGGGATATCTTGGCTCCCGGATTTTGGATTAGCTCAGAGCAAAGAATAATTTGTTACAGTGAGGGTGGGCTGACACCTTTGACTGCTTTCAGCATCTGCACACGAATACTTTCAGAAGCAACTGCTCCCTGTGGAAGAGGCGTTGGCAAAGACTGAGCAGTTTATATGCTCGGTATATGAGAGACCTCTTACTGTGTCCTAGTGAGGATCCATTCTTAGCAAAGCACTTGCTTTCTCTCTGCATGCTGGCGATATTGCAGAACATGGGTTATGTCAGATTTGCCTGCCCTAGTCTTCCTGGTAGGACAGTTTGTTGTGAATATATTTTAGGGCTGTTTTTTTCTATCTAAAGAGGAAAGTAAAGTATTGGAGTTGTGTTTTCCCCTCGGAGCTTGTGCTTGGTGAAGGGGAAGGTGATTGCACTGGGTAGAGGTGTCCTGGTCCCCTGCTGCATGTGGGGCTTCCTTGGGCCTTTGGAGGGATCTGCTGCCTTTCTCTGCATTGGCTGAAGCAGTAGCTCTTCCAGGTGCCTTCACAGCTTGAGAGGGCCACCTCCTTTTACAGCTTTCCCAACAGAAACTGAGCAGGGCAAGTTGCTGCATCTGGAGTCTCCCCTGGGGACCACTGCTTGGAGCCAGAATGCCTGGGGGGGATTCCTGTGTCCTGGGCTGTGGGACCCCAAAGACACTGGCCCCATCAAGCACAGTGGGCAAGCCTGAGCCAGAAGAGGCTCAACTTTCCTGCAGCACTGGGTGCATGCAGACAGGGAACGGGGGGCTTGTTTTCCTCTTCCTACTGTGTGTGTGGGCTTTTGTTCTGTGGAACCAGGTGTTTGATTTGTGAGTGAGGAACATGAAGTACTCTTCCAAACTGCAGCTGCTCCTTCAACTCGGACTGTGTCATGCTGCTGCTTCTAAGGATGCTCACCTTTACCTGGGCTGCTGGCACTTGATTTCAGAATCTTCAGATGCAGGTTTGTGCTTTCAATAACCACACAAGCAGAAGCTTAAAGGGTTTGTGCCAACTTTTATTATCTTTTTTGGAAATGGGATTTGGGGAAGGGAAAGAAATGTGCAAGGAGGAGCTGATTGTTGCAGACGGGGATGTTTGGGATGTACGCTGGCAGCAATGTGTCTGACCAAAATGACTGAAGCAGTAAAGCATGACAGCCAGGACACTGCTTCGGTGGATGTGCTTCCTTTACAGGGTTTTTGGTTTTAAGGTCTACTTTGTAGGTTATTTCACATACAAAACAAGAAAGCATATTTTAATGTCTCTATATGTATTTGTATATATATAAGATAGATATATATATACACACATATTTTATATTCTTACAACTCCCAGCTCCTAAAGGTTTCAAGTCTGAAGGGCCATGTGTATATATGCATTATAAAGAGATGCTAATTGACTGAGACAAGGCTTCCTTACTGGCTGTATGATAAATAAATGGTCAAGATATCTTTCATCAAAATCCTGCACATGTGCAGAGAACATGGTTCAGCCAAGCACCAACTGGCAACCCTCCTCAAGCTGTCCTGTCTCTGGCTATTTCCTGCAGGGGTGATGTGAGGCTGCCTGTGCTGTCCCAGGAATTTGGGGTGCTCACCCCTGTGGGGCTTGGAGGGGCAGACTGAAACATACTTGGTTTTGCTGCCCATGGGTCAGGCACCCTGTATGTTGGGGCTCCTATTTCCCATGGGGCTTCCAGTAGACTCTTTTGTTTTATGTTTCCATGGAGGAGAAGGTTTGGTGGGCAAGAAGGGAAGGGGTTTTGAAGGGGAAAGACAGTCAAAATTCACCATACAATAGACAAATCTTCATAAAGGTTCGTCTGCCTGCTCGTTCTTTTCTCTTTCTCTCCCTGTCTCCCTCTTATGCACTCATGTTGACTCTCATTCTCTGCAGGACGTACGCTGTTGTAGGGCTAAAGGTCTCCTTTTGTCAGGCTAAGGTCAAGTCCCTGGTTGGCAGAGGGCAGCCCTTCATACGGGCCTGTCCACGGCATACTGGCAAGGGCTCAGGTTGGAAGCTGCTGTCTGCACCGCCGGGTAGGTGAAGTTGGCGTGCTGCTTGGCCTTCAGCCGCAGGCTGGCCAGGCTGGAGTTGCACGTGTCCCTGTACATGTAGGGGCTGGCTGTTGAGGCATAAGGACAGGCACTGGATGAGACAGCAGAGTTGAGGCTTGGGCTGTTCAGATTATTGATGTTTCCCAGGTTGTTGAGGCTAGGGGCCGGTACCCCGGTCACCGCAGTAGGGACCATGGATGAAGGCATGGTCATTGAGGTGATGGAGCTGGGTGGGGAGAACATGGGCTGGGAGGAGAGGGGACTGACGTTCATGGAGTTGAAGAATGGAAAGCTCTTGGCCGAGAGTGGACTGCTGGCAAGCCCCTTGGTGGCCCAGTTGTTGTAGGAATAGCTGGAATACATGTCATCATAAGGCTGCATCAGTCCATTGAACTGCGCTCCAAAGCTGTTCTTACACAATTCGGCCTGTTGGTTCCTCTCTCGTTTCCTCCACTTAGCTCTGCGGTTTTTGAACCAGACCTGCAAGAGAGAGAGAGGAAGGGCATGGGAATTGCTCTGGCTGACCTCGCAAGGGGCCTTACCCTGCTTTCTTTGCCCAGCAAGACAAAAGCTGTTGAAGGGCTGGCGATGCTCCCAGGAAGATGGGAGGTTGAGCATCAGGAAAGAGCTGCAGCAAGATATTTGGGCTTCAGGGTTGTCTCCAGCAGGAATCACCAGTAGGTCCTCAGCCAACAAACAAAAACCCAAACCACTGCCATTTCACAACACACCGAATAACCCACTTCACTCAACAAACAGATGCCCTTTATATAGGAAAAAGAAAGGAAAATACTTGCTGTATTTCCAAGTGACCACAGCCAGGAGGAGAGGTTGGGGTTGGGTGACTTGGGAGCAAAGTATTTGGGGGATGTGTTTTGAAAGCTGCTGAACAAAGGGAAGAACTTCTCTTCTTTTGACTTTACCTCAGGACTGGCTTGGAGTGGGGTGTTGTAACTCTGTCTTCTAACAGGAAAATCTGTTAGTGTTAGAGAGGTTCAAACAATATAACTTCTAGAGCATGGAAGCTGCTGGAAGGCTATTCATGGTGCTGCTAACTCATATTTCTAGTAGCAGAGAGAAGCTCTCACTCCAACTGGAGCCCTGCCATACCATGCCTATGACTGCACATTGATTTGGGAACCCAAATGAGTGCCCTCCAGCAAGGATAAGGCTAGGGAGTGATAATACTGCAAGGAAAGGCTCTGCTGGGTCGAGGCAGCCAGCTGGTGGGGCTCTGTGAGGCTGAGCCGGGGCTTTGTATCTACCTGTATTATTGCAAGGTGGCCCTGGATGGGGAAGGCATCACCAGCATGGGGTATGTGTGTGGCAAGATGTGTCAAATCTCAAGCGCGGACCCCAGTGAGGTGTTTCCAAGATAGGGAAATTTTCTAGTCCTCCTAATTCCTTCCTTTGTTTGGGGACAGCTTGGACATGTATCACAGCAGACTTCCTCCCCACAAGCTCAGGCTCAGGAAGGTGGAAGGGCCTGAAGTCCTACCCGGACTCGTGCCTCTGTCAAGTTGGTCCAGACTGCAATCTCCTCCCTGGTGCTCATGTCTGGATAACGGTTTCTCTGGAAAGTGGCTTCCAGCTCTTGGAGCTGCTGGCTGGTGAAGTGTGTCCTCTGCCTCCGCTGCTTCTTTTTGAGTGAGCCGTCTTCAGGGTTCGAGTCGTCCGTCTGGTTTTGCTGGGACTTCTCAGTGTCTGTGTGAGAAACAGAAAGATGGGAGAAATCCCCTAAGTTAACCTGAGGACTTGGATGCACTTGGGAAGCCTATCCTTGGGGCAACCAGTGCATGCTCACTGGTCCCTTCAGTGAGGTCCCCTTCCACTGCAGCCACCAGGAGTGGTCCCATCTCCCTCCCTTGTCCTTGAAAGCGGGCACCCACCCAGCAGCAAAACCAATGCCTCCTTCATCACAGGTTGCCTTTGTTTAACTGCCATAAGATGTTAGCTTCCAAGTGACTGGATTTAGATTTTTCAAACTTTCAATATGTGGGTGTCATTTATCACAATTCACACGGGGGTAGTGGTAGAGTTTATCCAGATCAGAAGGTTCTTACTCTGCTTAAAACTCTCTGCCTAAGGTGTCCTTTGGAAAAACTGAACAGAAATTGACACTTGTGACACAACGAAAGATCCAGTCGTGTTTCTGTGGACAAATGATGGGAAAAGGCAAATAGCAAATTGATAGCAAGCTGAGGGTCTTCAATTAATTAGACCTGAGGACCACAAATTTTCACTCCCCTTCCTGCTCCTTTACATTCATACTTAGGTGCATATGTTTCTATTTTTAAAACATAGGGAAAGGCCCTCTCTTAGACCTTAGCATGAAGCACACCAGAATCTCCCTATATTTCTGCCCCTGCCCTCCTTCTGATTCACAGATCCCTCCCCTAGAGGCAATGTCTTTCGTTTCACTGCCCACTAAATTAACACCTCAAAACTCTCCAGTGCTCACACTGATACCTCACTGAAATGTACAGCTTAGCCTCCTTCTGGGCATCAAGTCCATGTCTGCATGCTGAGCTTTTGGCTGCTGTGGGTGGAGGTGGGAAGCCAGCTGCTTCCCTGTGCCACAGCCCTTTTCGGGGTCTATGCAAATACAAGCAGGCAAAGTGCAAATAAGGGCAGAATACAAATATCTTCTGTTCAGTTGTCCTCCACAGAGTGCCCTACTGCTCAAATGTGACACTTTCTTTTATGATGGAAGAAAGCTATAGCTTGTGTTTAATTTTGCTGGGAATCAAGACAAGTCACCATAAAGGAAAATTATTCCAGTCAAAATAAATAATTTCTGATCAACTCCTTCCTCTGATCTAGAAGCCAGGTGAAGCATTTCCAAATGAAAATCAGGTCTTCAGCAGAGAGAGGAGGTGTTCTATTACAATAGGAAATGGTCATCTAAACTAAATAAAAATTTTTGCAAATAGCTCCCAAACTGTTCCACTTGGAAGAAGAATCTTTAAAAAAATCCTGGCATCACTGTGCTAAAATGGAAATTTTTGTTTGGTTGAAGTTCTTTGAGTGGAAGCTAGTTTAAAGGCTTCAAAGTCCAGAAAAATCTCAACAGGAAGGTGTCTGGTACAGCCCCTTAATGATTAGGGAGACAAGGAGACAGCAGCCTGGAATACAGTTGAGTCAGTGAAAAAAGGGATTCCACAAGTCAAATGGACGTGCTGTGGAATAATAGGCTGTGTCTTTTCCATTTGGTTTTTATGGGGTATGCATGAGGCCTAAAAGCATCTGAGCCTCCCCAGAGACTGCTGCAGGGCAGTGCTGAGCCAACAGCAGGTGCTTTAGTGGGCCCCAGACCTGGAAGATGTTCCTGTCTCAAGAACGCTGTTCTTATGACAGCCTGTTAATTCAGAAATATTTTCCTGCTGTTCCTAGAAAATCCTCCTTGTACTTGCCTTTCTTCAGAGAGCAATGCCGGAGTTGCAGAGAGCATTTGCAGGATAGGACCTCGCTCTCCAGAGAGGAAACCCTGGGTGTGGTCAGTGGTTTGCTCCCCACCAGCCACCTCTGCTTCTGTAGCACGTCTGATGCTATCCACCAGCAGAAATGTGGATGCGAGGTCAGTGAGATGGCCATTGCTCACAGCAGCAGGGTATAAGTTGTTTCTTCTGAGCAGGAAGGTGCTATGTCCTGTTCTCAGCATCAGGACCAGTTTGTGTTTCCATCCAGGGTGTACCTGTACACGAACTCTCCCATCACACTCTTGAAACAAAGCAACAGGAATTGAAAAGTGGAATGAAAGAGCTTGGTTGTGGTCTTGTGGTATTCTTCTCCATTTTCATGGGCACCTTTGTTTGTGGATCCCATATTCAGCAGAACTCTTGGAAGTATGCTCTTAATGTGGATTTTTATAGTGGTACTTGCCAAGGAGATTAATCTGATTTCTCTAGCTCAGTGCTTTGAACTGGTATTGAATGTGGGAGATTCCTGCACTATCCATCTCCAAAAGAGATTAAATGGGAAGTGATGCCACCCATCTGAGCTAGTTATTAGGAATGGCTCAATACAGATGAACGGACAACATTTGGTTTATTTGTTCATCTGCTGAGCCTGGGTTAATTAGGAGCCTGTTGCATACAGGCAATGTGTTCTCACCAAAGTCCCTGACAAATATTCATTTCCAAAGGGGCTGCTGTGAAGCAGGAGGCTGTGCCCTAATTGGGAGCTGCCCAGGACTGCCCTTCTTCACTCAGGAAGAAACTATACCAAGAGGGAAAGAAAATGGAGTGAAGATACCACTGGTTGATGGGCTACATCTGGGTGAAAGAGATCACAATGTATCTTGTTTGGTATTCTCAACACCCTCTGGTATACTTACTTCACATAAATGTTAAGTCTAAGGAGAAGTAGGAATTCCAGCTTTGAGCCTTGCAAAATCTCTGTTCATCTTGTTGTCCTCTTTGTTTCCATACCTACTACCTGTGTTTTTTTCTGTGTGTTATCTCTTTTCTGCTTCTTCTATAAGCAGGGAATAAGTGTTCTCTGTAAAAGACGTGGAGTTTTGACTGATTGCAGTGGGGAACCAAACTGTGACAATACAGATAAAGAAAGGAGCCCACAGAAATGATGTGGGTACCTTGAATCCATGCTGAGGAGTACAATATGGGGAGATGTGGGGCAGTTCTTTTCCTGCCTCATCCTCACCCTTGCTCCCCCCCGACCTGCGCTGCCTGATGAAACCTAACAGAAGGGGGTGTCACAAATCATGCCATACAATTGGAGGACACTTGAGATCCCTGAGTGCTGAGCCCAGACAAGCAAGGTTTGTGTTCACGTCCTGAAGATCTCCTACATGTGTAGATGAATGAAGCAGGGCCAAGGAGAAGTAGGTAGGCTGCTCTCGAGGGGACTCAAGAAGTGCTGGAAGTGCAGCCCTGCCCCTGTCTCAGGCAGCCCTTGGTAGCCAGCTGTATTCTGCCTGACTGTATACTGCTGATACACGATGCAGAGGCCATCAGCCTCTGGTGCAAAGGCACAAGCTGCCAGCTTCTGCACACAGGTAATGCTGACAGTCATCTCCCAGAACCATTTTATTTCTAGACTGCTTAAAACAGTGGGGAGTAATGTAGCTAGGCATTACAACATTTATTGTCACCCCAAAATAGGTTGTGGAATATATCTTGTACACGTTCGCCCACTCAGTCAAACGACTGTGGCTATAGCTGGAATTAGCTGCTCATGCCTAATGGAAAGGAAAGTCAGTGCCTGAACTGGCACTTCTACAGCATGCCAGGGTGGGCTCAATAGGGAAGGCCACTTGAATGGAGACACTGCCATGCATCCAAAACAGCTGACGAGGAGCCACTGAGTTTGGGGATGTGCCCAACTAAGGTACATGTGGGGAATTTGTTGGGTGGATTCTCTGACTAGTTATCCCAGTGTAACTCCCTTCATGATACTTTCTCTGGGGAATTTTAATCTGCATCATTATCCTTATTAGCTTTTCCATGGGGGTGAGCCTGGAGGCTTTACACGGAGAGCAGTGGGCTGTCCCCAGCCCTCACTCCTTAGTGCTGGCACCGGCAGAAGCAGCTTTGCATTGTCCTGACACATCCAGATTAACAAGGGTTGGAGTGGTAACAGGACAGATGTAAAATCCAGAGGAAACCATAGCATTTGGTAGCTGATTTCTGAACAAGTTTGAATGGTGATATTTCTTATTCAGAGCCTGATAAAGAATTCAGCAGGCTTGGGGTTTGTTCAGCCTTTGGGAATGGTCAGAGGCACCTCTGTGAGAGAGCAGCAAAGCAGTGCACCAAGGCACAGGTGAGGAGACTTTTTCAGTTAAAGCAGGCGCAAGACAGTGCTTCCCTTTCAACTTAATGCCTGAGCCTGGAAAGTTCAGCCTAAGGTTTACCTTTACCATGGAAAGTTTAAACCCAAACAATTTAAACTGAGGTAAAAAAAATAAAAAGAGCAGTTTAAAATTAGGTGTAGCCTTCTGTGCCTTGGATACTTCCTATGTTGTGGGGAAAGCTCTTCTGCTTTGGGGATCCTGTTTAGGCAAATACAATAAAATCTTGTTTGGGCTGTGACCTTACTTGCCAGGTTCAGGCCTGCCATGGGCTGTACCCTTGTGAGCAGTGGCTTCCTGCAGCCAGGGCCAGATAACCCCACCACTGGGATGATATTCTCACCGTCCCAATAGCTGTCACTGCAATATGGACCCATATGCCTTTCCCCTGCCTGTTGGCACAGCCATGCTGCTATGGCATTTTGCTGGCTCCCAGTAGAACGGGAAACTGTCTCTCTGGGAGCACTGCAGCCAGCTCCTGCAAGCCACTGGTCACACAGATCCACCCACAAGGATGGGTCAGGGTTTTTCTTGTATCTTGAGCCTTGCACTCACCGCTATGGTCCTGCCCTTTGCAGCTGTGCTCGTGTTGAGGAGTTCCAGAGTCTGAGAGCGACAAGGCTGGGCTGCGAGCCTCCGCGTCTGCCAGCAGGTTGAAATCCATGGGGCAGGGATGGGTGGTGGAGAAGGAGGAATCTGAAAAACAGTAGTCACAGGGTGATCAGAGAGATCAATGCGTGTGTGACCTCTCCTCACCACCTCCAGCAGGGACTTGCCTTGAGGAAAGGTCTAGGAAAAGGAAAGGATCCCTGTGTGATCTTTGGACACCTTTGAGTTTCTTGGCTGGAAAATGGACATACTGGGCTTTCAGCTGAGCTTCCCTATAAATCAAAGATCATCTAGTGACACTTCTATTTGCAGCCTTCAGAGAAAGAGCCTCCAATTTATAGGTGACATTCAGACTGAAATAGCAACGCCGGGAGCATGCTGTGTAATGGAGATCTGAGGAAGTGGTTCTGGGCCAGCCAAGGGCTGTTAGCACCTTCCCCAGTCATCCCACCTCTCCCATCCTCCCTGCCCAGCTTCCCTGCTCTTTCTCCCTTGTTTCTTCACAAGCTGGCCAAGCCTAAGTAAAGCTTTTCAGAGAACACTACATGCACACATCTCAAAAGAAAAGCATTTCTCTGCCTGGCATTGATAGGAAGGCACACCTGCCTGCACAGCCACTGCTACAAGCAGAGACCCAGGCAGTGCAAGTGGACCCCTTTGGGGTACACAAGGACCTTTGGAACCTGAATTAACATGGGAATCACATTTCACACACTTAGGTGCCTGGGAACGAGTGGTACTGGCTGCAGGAGGAGCTTGCTTCCAGCCTTAGATAATCCTGACTATGATCCCCATGTCTCCTCAGGAGACCGGCTTGTGCTGTGAGCCATCTTCCCTGGCTGAAAGCATCCCAACTGGAAAGCTGTCAGTGCTGCTCCCCAGAACTGCAGGAATCACTGTGACTCTTCTGTCCCCTCTTTCCACACATCTCTGTCCCAAGATCAATTCTTTTCATCATTCACTTCCTTATGAACCTTGCACCCTCCACTTGTATTGCCTAAAGGAATGCAGCTGAGAGCAGCACTTTGTTCTGGACCACCTTGGATGCTCATGAAGAGGCAGGCATGAGGCAGTAGGTGTTCCAAGCCTGGCTACATCTCCTTGGAAAGGTGATCTGGCTCTATGTTAACCTCTAATCTGAATTTTGGATCATAACCAACCCAGCAAAATGGGGATGTTTCACTGCCACTTGGTGCACAGTTTATGAAGGCTGGATCACTTTGAGGGGACCACAGCAGCTTCCAAAACTTCGGCCACTCCCAGCTGATACCTCACCTTCCCAGCTAGAGATCCTTTTTCTCTAAACCACAACAGCTGAGACACTGTGCCTGGTCCTGGGACCCCTGGGTTTATGGAAGTTTGGACCAGGTGTTTTGGATTTTCAAACTTTACGTGAAGATCAGTTGTGAAATCTGGATCCTGGGTGGTGAAGGATTGCCCAGCCCCTCAAATCTATGTGTTTCAGGGAGGGAACGTGCTGAAGACAGTCTGGACTGTGTTAGTTTTTAGACATGTAAACAAGAGATTAATCACATAGCTGTTGCACCTCATTTGGAGGTGGATGACAGTGACTAAGAATGTATTTTCAGAGCTGTCTAAAGCCTCTTTAGTCAATTTGCACAAGGCTGCTTCCAGGGCCTCATCGGGGCTGATCCCCATACCTGTAGTGTGCTATCCAGGCTGTGATGAGGGAGAAAGGAGCCATTTCTAATGGTTATCTGGCTGGCTTCTGAAGCAGATCTTGCTCACAAAAACCCTGCAGTTTTCCTTGTTCTTCACTTCTCTTGACCTTCATCCACCACCTCTCCCAGGTACTGGTGGGGCAGTCTCAACACCGACCTCAGTCAGTGCTCTCTTGAAGCAGCACCTAATGAACCAGGACCTGGTTCTGGTTTCCCAGACCTTTGCTCTGATCTGGGCTTCTCCTCTCCTGTGGCAGAGAAGTGGCAGCACTTCGGCTTTGCCATGAGGCTGGTTTCCATTTCCATTTTGTGGCAAGCCTGACCTTTGATGTCTGCTGGCTGTGTTAAGCTCCTGGCAGCAGCCAGGCACAGCCCTGTTGCATTCTGCCATGTGTACATATATGAAGTGATGTGACAGGGGCTGTGTTTTCTTTAATACCTTTGCATGGAGTAGGGGAGTCCATCTGCTGCTGATATTGCCATGGCTTTTAGCATTACTCTCAGAATTATGCAGAAACGCGCAGTGAATTAATTCCATGGATTAAGTCTTGATTAAGATGTGTGTCACTTTGCTGTCTCAGAATTTATTAAGAGCCCTTCTTGAGTCTGCAGCAGATGGAATTTCTGCCCAATGTTTGTAGATGATAATTTCCCCTCTTCTACAGCCATTTGCATATGATTGCATCTGTCAAGCACAATTTCCTCTCTTCTAGAGCTTGACTCTGTACTGGACGATTTAAGGAGGAATTCAGATCCTTGCCTTGCTATAACTCAAGGACAGTGTCCTCCTGTGCAGGGTCCTGTTTGCTCTTTTTTCCACATCTTGCATTGCTTTCATCTGTACAAACTAGAGTGAAGATAGGAAAACCAGGGGGAAGTATCTTACATAGACAAGGTTCCATAGGCGTGAATGATACAACACAAAATACAAGGCTGAGGAGAGCCTAGTCCTGGTATTGAAAATTTACGCCCCATCCTGGGCTGCACCAATGCAGTGGTTGCAAACTTCATCCAAGCTGCTGGACACAACACAGCATGCTTGGCCTGCCTCAGAGATACAGTGGGTACTCTGATTAAAACTGGTTATGAAGCGTGGCCAGTATTCAAGTTTAACCTGGGACTTGTGGCTGAGCACAAGTTTGCTTTGTGAACTGAATTTAAAAGCAGGAGGTGTTATATATATACGTAATTGCATAATCTATTGCATGTGCCATATATGGTGGCATCAAGGAATGCCTTTTCAATTTGCTCTGAGCAGGTCATGGAGAAGCAAAAGCAAAGGGAGAGATTAAAAAAGCAAGAAAAGTCTGCAATGGTGACAGCATGTGAGCTCTGTACCAATGTATTTACCCAAAGGCAACCCCATGCTACTGACACAAAGAGCTATAAGGTATTCTTCTAGATTATACAGCCCTTTTGGATTTAAGAAAAGGAGCTTTCGTCCACATTGGCTAGATCTTGCTGTAGGCAGAGATATTAAGAAAGTCAATGCTAAATCTTCATGGCATTTCTACTAAGTTGTTTGCCCAGTCTCAAGGAATCAGTGAAATTGGCACTTCAAAAATATTTTTAGATAAAATCAAATTTACCATCTTCGTCTGACTCTTCATCTCACTTTCTTTTAACATAAAAGAACCGTTTCTTTAGGGACAGCTTCTGTACTAGCAACATGCAGTCAGGCTTGCTCAGAGGCTTCTTGCTCATGCTAGTTGTAAAACTAGCTATGGATCCCAGTCTGTTCCATCACCTGTAACTCCTTCCATCTATGTATGTTATTGCCCCTGAGATAAAGGTTTCCAAACCTGTAACAAACATATCTCTTCTTCCAGTCACTGCCCATGTGCATCCTCTCCTTGGTGCCCATGTGAACATGCTGTGGACACCTGTGCAAGACCCTCCAGCCAGACAGGGAATTGCCATCCTTGCTCCATGGGCATGGTGGAGGGCAGGGAAAGAGAAGTTCTGGCTCTAGGCCTTTTCTCTGTCCAAATGCACCCCCTTTCTATTTCTGTGTGAGTTCACATCTGCCCAAGCCTGGGCCATTTAGGCAGTAGAAGAAGAACACTCCTTCATGAGGAGAGCAACCTTGTTTACCTGAAAAGAGAAACAAGGGTCCCTGTGACCCATCTCCTGGTTCTCAGTAACACACTGCTTTGTCACCTGGGAGCAAGGAGGCTTTTGCTTGGTTTTTTTTTCTTTGAAGGGTTGGGAAAGAAACACAAAGGCTGACTTCAAGCAAAGTAAGGCTAATTACAGGGGTAGCTTTTGTGATGTGGGTCTTTCCCGTTGAGAGCTGCCTAGTGAGTGACTAGTGTGTGCTGCTTGACTCTCTGCACTGCCATTGGGGACCAGGCTTCCTGCTGGACCTGCTCTGGCAGGTTGATCTGGAAGTGAAAAGCTGTCTTGCATGGTTTTGATGTTATTTTTTTTACTTCCCATCGGCATGCAGGGGTGCTTCAGCAAGGACCTGATGCTTCAGGTTCCAAGATGGCAGCACAGCTACCACTGATGACCCAAGGATAGGAGGGAAGACCTAAGCTGGCCTCTCTCAAGCAGATCAGCACAGCCCTGTGGATCTGTGAGTTTCCTACCTCCAGCCAGAGCCACAGTAGCTAAATCTTCTGCTTGGAATTGCTGATCTCCACAAAGAGTTCAGGGTTTCTCCTCAGCCTGAAAGGTGCTCTGCAATCATTTATGGGGGAGTATCCTTTCATTCTTGCATCTCCTGAGGTGAAGGTGTGATGTTACACTAGATTCTTAGGGTCAGACCTGTCTCTTCCTGCTCCATCAATTGAAGAAGTCAAACTACTGCTGATTGCTTCACACCTCCCATGCTCATCTTCTCTGTGTGCTGGTTTACTTTTAAGAGAGATAAACATTTGGGACTCTGTTTAAATGTACATTTTCAGGAAGATGATCTGCTTCTGTACTTTGGTCCCCGTGAGGGGCTGAGGTAAGGTGGAACAGCCCCTGCCTCTCCCTCTGCTCCTTGTCAAAGAGGAAGTGATTGAAAGTGTGCGTGTTCCCTCATAGAAGAGCATTTTGTTCTCTGGATATATGTGTTTGTTCAGGTAATGGTGCCATCAGAGTGCCTATGGAAGTGCCACATCAGCACAACACATGAATCGTGCAGCAACCAAGAGTCAGATTCTCTTTGCTGGCCAACATGAGTGCTGCCTGTGAGGGGCTCTTTCCCCACTGCTAGAAAGCAAGAAGGCTGGGGTGCAAAATGAGTTAATATTTGTTTCCTTCAGACTGTAGAAATGTAACTATGGGGAGACCAAGGTCACCCACTGCTAAACATCTCAGTGTAGCTTTAAATCTCTAATCTTAATAGAATTGCAGCAGGAACCAAGAGCAACCATTAATCACTGGAA